GCATACCACGCTAACCTTTCGATTCTGAATTCCTTCTCCAAACATATATCTATACTAATATTATAAAGAGAAAAGGTTTGTATTTTCATATGCTTTCAAATTACTCATAAACTACTGGGCCGATTTTAAAAATTCTTTCACCGTTAGAAAGGTTTTTTTTTTTATAAAATAAGGTGGCAAACGAGCAAGCGGCTACCTGAAATTGCCAAAATGGCGAAGCGAACACTGCCCATAGACATCTGCAATTGCAGATGCGTTGCCTACCCTTAATTGACGGAGGAGGAGACGCTCATAAAGAGGACATTTCCCCTTCCTATGCGTCTCTTCCACCGCCAAATCCACTTTTCCTCCCCACCCTTTCCTCTTAAGAAAAGGGTGGAAAGGGACTAAAATTAGGCCTCCGGCACCACACTCATCAGACGAAACGCGGAATTGCTTCCACTTCACGCCTGTTTTCTGTGTGGTCGTGGTATTACACTGGGCGAGCCGGCCCATTCGTGCGAAGATGTTAAAGCGGGCTCTACCACTGTTAGGTAACTTATCTGTTAGTAACATAGGATTTTTATTTAATTTCCCGCGGGCGAAGTCGCAAGCAACAGCTAGTCTAAATGCTTGTTAAATTTCAATATTATCACATCAATTCGACAGCGACCGTAATGTGTCTATTAAGCAATTATCCTCGTCCTTGGAAGATTCCGCTAATGGATTTATGATGTTGAATTAATTCATACATCACATAACGTATTGTAGAATTTCGTTCCATACGCCTTGTTCATACCAAATGAAATAACTTTAATATTAACGTTTACTTATATGGAAATATACACATGTGTTGAAACCATTTTTTTTTATAACATAAGGTAGCAAACGAGCTAGCGGCTACTAGAATCCGCCAAAATAGCAAAGCGACCGCTGTCCATAGACATCCGCAAATGCAGATGCGTTGCCTACCCTTATACGACGGAGGAGGAGATGCACATAAAGAGGATATTTCCCCTTACTTTGCATCTCCTCCACCGCCAAATCCACTTCCCGTACCCAACCTCTCCTTGTAAGAAAAGGGTGGTAAAGAGAAAGGGACTTAAATTAGGCCTCCGGCACCACATTCATCAGACGAAACACGGAATTGCTTCCATTTCACGCCTGTCTTCTGTGTGGTCGTGGCGGGCAACACCGGGCGTGCCGGCCCATTCGTGCTAAGATGTTAAAGCGGGCTCTACCACTGCTACCACTATCATGTATCATCTATACTTCTATACTAATATAATAAAGCGTAAACACACACTTCTTTGTTGCCTAAGATGTCAGCAATCACCGCATGTTTTCGAATAACTCTTTTTTTAATAAAAAGCCCTACACTTACGTCACGCTTTAGGCTATATACTTCCACGCCTTTAAGCTTAGGGGTAAATATTTCGGATAAAAACCCTAATGTGGGAAAGAGACCATAAATTGTTGCCAACATCAAGGAAGTAAGATTGCCATGGTTTGACGTCATGTCATTTTGACATTTGCTATTGATAATTTGACAAATGTGAACAATGAAATTTTTTTTATAATTTTATGCGGATGAAGACGCATGAGAACAGCTAGTTTATAATATTCGTATTCTCGTAGATGTAATAAGAAACGCATTTAACATATAATTTAAGCTTGGAAACTTACTGACTACTTTAAAGCGGTCCTAGGTTCAGTGGTAAACTTTTACAATAGCTTTCAGGACTTGTTTATTGTAAAACTAAGTTGCAAAGCGACAAAAGTAAGACTTTAACTTACAACTTAGAGTTGTTAAATGTACCAGATATTTAACGTAATGTTAAATTAGCTATTGTTCGTTTGTGAGTGAAAATTAAATAAATATAACATACTAGTATTATAAATGCGAAAGTTTAGATGGATGGATCTTTGTTAGAGCTTGTAGCCTAAACGGCTTAACGAATTTCGATGAAATTTGGTGTAGATGTAGAGGATAGTCTCCAAGAACACATAAGATATTCACTTTTGTTTTGTTTTATTTACACGCGGACGGCAAAATAGTTTTGTTACAATTTCTCCGTATAAGTACAAATATGAAGTTTCTATCTAAATGAAGTTGGTGTATTTGGAACCTAGATATTCCCGGAGCTGATTACATCCTAGATCTAATACTGTTATGCCCGCAGGTGTTTGTTTATTCCATATATAGTCAAGGACGTTTATTTCCTATCCTAGCAAAGTTTTACACTGACAATACTATTACATCTTATTTATAACAAAACAAATAAATAATAATAATAGTTCTTATGGTAAAAGCAGCAAAGTTCTATCCTAGATGGGTAGGTAATTTAATTCTTTGACTGTGCAGATGTAATATTAACGTCATAAGCAAATGTTTACTAAATGAACAGAGCACATCATACTAGTCAATACGTAGCTGTTTGAACACTATACTACACATTTCCTACTAAAATAGTTATTTTGTATCAAGTTTTTTATACTCATAAGTAAAAATTCAACATTTCAAGATACAAAACTCGATACGACTACACCATTTTCTTCTAAAGAAAGGTAAGGGAAAGAGAATTAGGCGGTTTGAGGAGTTATAGGAAGGGGAAATATCGTCTTTATGTGCGTCTCTTCCGTCTATTAAAGGTAGGCAACGCATTTGCAATTTCGAATATTTATGGGCAGCGGTCGCTTTGTTTTCTTGTCACATTTAGGTGACTCAAGCTTATTTGTTCTATCATGTAAAAACTTGGTTAATGTATTACATGAAAGTTATTATTATTTATTTTAAGAGAGTGCGCACACATTTGACTAAACCATCGCACAACTGTTGCGCCATTGTCGATTGTTTTGCAGCCCAATTCAACTGTTTACTTGCAGAACTAAGAATTGGGTAGTGTGCGCACCATATAAGCTCACAGGAATTAAAGCGCGACAAAACAGTTGTGCGATAGTTTAGTCAAAGGTGTGCGCGAACTAAAGGACAGACTTTAAATACTTTAATGTACATAATAAATTCAAAATTACATAAAATAATATCATCGACATTTCTTTGCGGAATGACGAGCCCGACTCACTTCGTAAGAAGCGCCCGAGTGTCCATTAAAATTGATTAAAAGCCTTAAGATTTTATCATTTCACGGTTCAGATTGTTTTAATCAGAGTGAATTTCTGTAGCGAGTCAGATCAGTTTCGTTATCTTTGAATTAAAATATCCAACCGTCATCGAAATTAAAGAAGGGTGGAAAAGTATTTACTAAAGGCCTGTCCCACCAAATTTTCGGAAAACGGAAACATCGGATTTTGTTTCTTTATCTGACAGTGGCGTCAAGCTATCTGAGACTCTATCAGCCAGTGGTGGGACAGGCCCTAAATATTATAAATGCGAAAGTTTAGATGATTGTTTAGAAATGTGCCGCCTAAACTACTGAACGGATATCCATAAAATTTGTAATTTAAAGCATAATTTGGAAGTACACATAGGCTATTTACTTTTTTTTATATCATAAGGTGGCAAACTAGCAAGCAGCCATCTGAATACGCCAAATTGGCGAAGTGACCGCTGCCAATAGACATTCGTAATAGCCGATGCGTTGCCTACCCTTATACGGAGGAGAAGACGCACATAAAGAGGATATTTTCCCATCCTATACATCTCCTCCACCGTCGAATCCACTTCCCCTTTGCATCCTCTCCTTATAAGAAAAAGGGCGGGAATGAAAAGGGACTATAACTGGACCTCCGGCACCACACTCATTAGACGAAACACGGAATCGCTTCCACTTCACGCCTGTCTTCTGTGTGGTCGTGGTATTACTGGGGCCGCGCCGATCTATTCGTGCGAAGATGTTAAAGCGGGCTCTACCACTGTCAAAACTGTTTTTATTATTCCGAAGCTGTTGTATTATAAATGTTATAAAAAGCAACTTTAGTTAAACATGTTAATGTATTCTAGATTAAAATGAGCTCTGAATGCTATACTATCGCCCCCTGGCGAGTACGTGCTACCTCGCAGTTAGCACGCTGTTACCAGACACGCTGACTCGACCGTGACACCGTGTGGCCACGAAATACGTGAAAATAGCGATAAAAAAATCAGAAATTATTTTATGTAACTGTAAAGTAATTTTATTGCAATTACATATATAAATATCCTTGTGCTCTTTAAAATTATTCATGTTTTAATATTATAATAGGTTAATAATATAAGTTCAAAACAAAATAAACCCTTATTATTGACTAGCTTTCGCCCGTGACTCCGTCCGCTTAGAATAAAAAAACTATTCTCTACATCTATATCGAGATCCGTACCTTTTAGGCTACAAACTCAAATATCCATATAAACTTTCTCATTTATATTATTAGTGAGATAACCAAGCAAAGCATAATATAATTGAATTCAATATTTTACGTTGAAGTAATTCGGAGTGTCAAGGCAATTTGCTTGTAAGTTTTCGTGGCCCCAACACAGTTACTGCGGTAAAAGTAAAGTATACGATATTGAAGACGTTAATATAATATTTTGCAACAATATCGAACTTTTATTATTTTACACTTTTTCTAGCTGAATACAAATCAGACAGTCTTCGGTTCTTCTTTAAATTTCACTAGCTTTTGCCCGCGACTCCGAACGCGTGGAATTAAAAAAAACAGCGTATGTGTTCTTCCAGACTATCCTCTACATCTATGCCAAATTTAATCGAGATCTGTTCAGCAATTTAGGCAACAAACTTTAACAAACATCCATCTAAACTTTCGCATTTATAATATTACAAGCTTTCGTTCGCGACTCCGTCTGCGTGGTATTAAAAAATGTAAGTAGCCTTTGTATCATTTCACACTATGATTTACATTTATGCCAAATTTCATCCAGATCTGTTAAGCCGTTTAGGCTACAAACTCTAACAAAAGGAGATATTTAAAACTTAACTTTACTTTTTTTATGTTTAGAAATTGTATTTTTATGAATGTATGGCGTACACCTTTGTTACCCTCCTACGTGTGAAAAAAAGTATTGTTCCCGCCCGGGATCGAACCGGGGACCTTGTGCGTGTGAAGCACACGTGATAACCGCTACACTACGGAAACTTGATGTTATACTTGATTATGAGGAATCATTTATGGGAGTGTCTTAGTGTTGTACTAAGATTCTTTTCATCTTACTAATATTATAAATGCGAAAGTTTGGATGGATGTTTGTTAGAGTTTGTAGCATAAACTGCTGAACGGATTTCGATGATATTTGGTATAGATGTAGAGGATAGTCTGGAGGATAAGCTTCACATTTTGTTTTTTTTTAATTCCACGCGGACGGAGTCGCGGGCGAAAGCTAGTCGTTACGTAACTCGCTTTATACATTCCTGTAGAAACTGCCTCGTAAATTACCTAATTTTCAAGACCCGTGACGTGTTATACTAGCTTTTTGTTACTCAGTGATATTGAAGTTTTTATTAGTAAAAGATTTTGTGAAGTCAAAAAAAAAACAAATTTCTCTGCATAATGCGTCTTCTCCTCCGTCAATGAAGGGTAGGGAACGCATTTGAAATTGCGGATGTTTATGGGCAGCAGTCGCATTCCATTTCGGTGCATTCAGGTGGCCGCTTGCTCGTTTGCCACCTTATATTATAAAAAAATATTGTACAATGTTGTATTAAATAAATGAAATATAATCTTTATTTTAATCTGTGTTTGATTTAGAGATTTACGTAATCAAAAAAATAATAAAATAAAAACTCATAGCGTACACAGAAATGTATTTTTTTATCTTAGAAAGCCTCCTTCAACGTTTAAAAGCAAAATTACCTTAAAATATGTTCTTTAACATTTCTAAAAATGGCGCTCGCTTTTAATGTCAAAGATTTCTTTTAGCTCTTCGAGTAATCGAATCGGATTTCAATCTGCGAAGGTAACGCGGTTTGCTCGTAGATTGTGCACTCAACAGGTTTATAAAATTGATTTCCACTTGTTATCTTTCTTAGGCATTTTCATAGACATTTCATCGATAAAGTGTGTCTAAAAAAATAGATTAGTTTGATAAATGACGCATATGAAGTATCGAATTCAATTTGTATGAAGGTTTATTCAGTACTTAATAGACAGGTATCGTAGTGACGAAACACGCAGCGAACAATTTTGAACTATCGATATTCGGTTTAAATAATTATCGAACTTAACTAAAGCTATTATTTTCTTATTCACTAATTTAAAGGACAATTCTTGTATTGATTATGAGTAGAGAATTTATGATGACAGAAATAATAGCGAAATCCAATTCGATTACGGCTGTAGTAGTAATAAACATTTATTTACTCTCATTATTTGTTATGGTCATTATTAATTTGAGAAAACAGTGTTTTTTTTTATAAGGTATAACTATAATTCTATCGATTCCAACTTCTATAAGAATAAAAATCGAAAATCTATAAGATTCATGACTTTACACAACCCATCCCTACTAAATTTGAAAGAATTATCAAACTAATCTAATTTAGACAAACTATAGATAAATTTAATATCAAGGTATGTTTTTTTGTTAATTCGGGCGGCTTTTCCTCGCCCTTTTGTTTCCCCTATCATGTTTGGGTAAAGGACTAAATGGTGCAATCTATATTTCTCTATTACTTAAGATAAAACGTTAAAGCTTACAATAAAACTTTACAGCATTCTTACATATATGTTAAAAACAATAAATATAAAAACCAATGATAAAAAAATACAATTGCTATAATATATAAATAAAAAACACTTAGTAAATATTACACTCTATTTCATTGGGCTACGAGGGCCGTTTTCTTAAAAAAACATAATTATATGACTTGTTATCAAGGTATGTTAAAGATATGACGAAATGCGAAAACCATGTAAGTTTAACTATATAGGAACTCTAAGTTATAACATAAGTTTGTCCAAGTATTTATATAAGGGGGAACCACTCGAATTTATCGTTTTCCTATTGAGAGAGTTTCAAACACTGCAAAAATATCGATAAGACATGCAGAGCCATCTGTTGGTGAAAAGTGAACTTATTTTTAAAACAGACCAAATTTTCTCCTTACCTATACGTGTACATAAAACATTAAAAGGAGGAAATATTTATATACAATGGATATACTCAAAAGCTACTGCATCGATTTCAAAATTTCATTTCTATTTAAAAACTCACGTTATAAGTAAAGTCGCGGGTAAAAGTTAGTTTATTAACCTTTTTTTAAATAAAACAGTGTCTTCATTAAAAGGTTTCCAATATCGGGAATTAATTTGATAGCATATTTAGAAAATAAGTTAGATATGGTAATTCTACGACAATTTAACTTAACTTAATGCAATAAGTTATCGATAAGCCGTATAACAATAGCCAGTACGGTAGAGGGTAAAATTAATATGAAAACTTTAACTAATAATTTTCGCAATTAATAGCTTTTACGACGTTATTAGTAACATGTATGACTTCTAATTCGATTATTAAGACAGGACGCACACCATTGACTAAAAAAATCAAACAAAAAAATGGGACCCACCTGCAAGCATTACCTTTCGGATAAAAATGAATTATCAAAATCGGTCTACTAGCGGCGGAGTTATGCCGTAACACACATAAAAAAAAACATACAGACGAATTGAGTACCTCCTTCTTTTGGGAAGTCGTTCAAAAACTATCGCACAACTGTAGTTCGATTGTCGATTGTTTCGCAGCCAATACAATTGTTTGTCACAACTAAAAGTCGAGGAGGGGCGCCTCCATACAAGCTCAGAGGAATAGGGAGACAACAGCTGTGCGATAGTTAGTCAAAGGTGTGAGCTCTAATCAGTTCATTCCTCCATCATTCGTCAACCGCTCTCTCATTCATTTCGTTTAGATATGCAAAAACTAACTCATAATAAATATAAAGGCATAATTTTTTTGTTACAATCAGAACGGTTAAATATTATTAACCGCTTATTTTAGACACTAAACACAATAATCTGCTTAAATTACACATGCCTCTGAGAGGCAGTTACAATCTAAAAATAATCTTTGGTTTTGTGTTCGTTTACTCTTTGCAATTTAAAAATGCGTGGGTTTATAACATTACGCTCCTACATATTATTTGTATTTAAAAGCATCATTAATTGCATATTTTACCCAAATATAAATGTGCATTTCTTGTTGCCATGCACAGGTTTATCTTTTTAACTTAATTTGTCTTAAAACTTGTAAATATGATTAAAAGTAAAACTAGAATCAAAGTAGAGCAGGAATTTAAATTAAGTTACGTACAAAGTGAAACAAATAACTTCTTCTCTTTGCTATTTTTCACTTAAAATTAATGTAAATTGAACTTCTGAAACTTCTAAGTTAGTAAGACTAGTTATATTTCATAACAAAATTTCCATTTGTATATCTTAACTAGTTCTAGTGCGGCTTCATCCGTATAAGATTATAAAAAATATTGTTCACATTTGTCAAATTCTCATTTGCAAATGTCAAAATTACCGTTACCATAACAACCTTGCTTCCTCAATGTTGGCTGTAGTTTATGGTCTCTTTCGCACATGAAGGTTTGTTCCAATTTATTTAACCCCCTAAGTTTAATAGCGTGACAATATGTCTAAAGCGTATCACAAGTGCGACACCGGTTTTATTTACACGGTTTAAAAAAAACTATCAAAAATATAACCTAGTTACTAATTGCATTCGGTGTAAAAGTTTTCGAGTTTACTTGTTACAATAATAAAAATCTTCCCTCTTTATAACATTAGTATAAATATAATTAACATTTAAACGAAAAGAAATCAATCAATTTGATTATTTCGACACTCCGGAATATTAATGACTCCTTACAATGTTGTCATACATACAAATCTCCGAATATATCACACAAGCCAAGTTTTTATATCTATACTATTATAATAAAGCGTAAACACACACTTCTTTGTTGCCTAAGATGTCAGCAATTACAGCATATTTTTGAATAATCCTTTTATTAATAAAAAGCCCTACACTTACGTCACGCTTTAGGCTATATATTTTTACGACATTAAGCTTAGGGGGTAAATATTTTGGATAAAAACCCTAGAGTGGGAAAGAGACCATAAGTTGCTGCCAACATCAAGAAAGCAAGATTGCTAAGGTTTGTCATGTCATTTTGAATCTGTCAATTGTCATGTAAACAATAAAATAAAATTCATAATTTCATGCGAATAAAGCCGCACGGGAACAGCTAGTTTCACTATAAATATTGCAGTTATTAGATTATGAAACTCATGTATAGGCCATTAATTGTAGCGAGCCGCGAAAGCCTCTGATTACAAAACTTTCCCAGCAAAGGAAAACTTCTGTTATTTATTTCACCTCCACTTTGTCCGCTGTTCGGGCCTTAATCTATTAATATAACACGTAACTTAACATTATAAGTTTTTATAAGCCTTACCAGTACTTAGTTACAAATATATTTTAATTTCACAGTGGTAGAGCCCACTTTAACATCTTCGCACGAATGGGCCGGCTCGCCCGGTGTAATACCACAGAAAACAGGCGTGAAGTGGAAGCCATTCCGCGTTTCGTCTGATGGGTGTGGTCCCATTCCCTTCCGCCCTTTTCTTAAGAGGAAAGGATGGGAAGGAAAATTGGATTTGACGGTGAAGGAGACGCATAGCAAGGGGAAATGTCCTCTTTACGTGCGTCTCCTCCTCCGTCAATTAAGGGTAGGCAACGCATCTGCAATTGCGGATGTTCGTAGGCAGCAGTCGCTTTCCATTTCGGTGGATTCAGGTGGCAGCTTGCTCGTTTGCCAACTTTTATTAAAAAAAAACACACGTCAACTTTTTATACTGTGACTAGAGCGTATTTTAACTATTCACCTAGGTATATTACATACAGTCACCACTCACGATCGCTCGGTAACACGCGACAAATATGTTACCTGTTAAACAAAGGCATCGTGAGATCCGACATTTTATTAACTTTCTACACGGGAACAAAAGGGCTTGCATTGATAAAGTTTCTACACGCAATCGTAAAAATGAGAAAACGTTTCAGCCGTATATTATACTAGCTTTTACCTGCGACTGCGGTCGCATATAACTAAAAACTTATTAGCCTACATGTT